ACTTGTTTATAAGATAACAAGCTGTCAGCACAGCTTCACCCCAGAATGGCTTAGGTAGTTTAGCCATACTCAGCATGCAACGAACTTTCTCCATAATGGTCTGATTCATTCTTTCGGCTACACCATTGTGTTGTGGAGTTCGTGGAACCGTCTTCTCATGTCTGATTCCATATGCGGCGCAATATGCTGAGAACTCTTGGGAAGTGTACTCTTCTCCATTGTCTGAACGTAGACACTTCAGCTTCTTCCATGTTTCTCTTTCTACCATGGCATGAAATAATTTGAAGCGATCAAACACTTGATCCCTACTCTTCAAACAGTAAGCCCATACCTTTCGTGATGCATCATCAATGAATGTCACGAAATATCTGCTTCCTCCAAGTGACTCCTCTTCAATGGGTCCACATACATCAGAGTGGACAAGACTGAGTAACTCTGTATGGTTCTTCCTGGTAGAACTGAAGGAAACCCTGTGTTGTTTCCCGAATAGACAGTGCTCGCATGGATCTAGGGCAACACCTTTGCCCATGGAAATGCTTTCCTTCTTTGCAAGAGTTGTCAATCCCTTCACGCTCAAGTGGCCTAGCCTTCGGTGCCACAAGTTTGGTGATATCTCTTCTTCAACAACATTGAGACTTGGATAACATAACTTTGCATGAGTTTTATACAGAGTACCACAAATATGGCCTCTTGCAACAACCAAGGAACCTTTAGATAACTTCCACATACCTTCTTTGAATCGGTTAAGATATCTTTGCTGATCCAGAGTTGTACCGGAGATGAGATTCAATCTAAGATCCGGAACGTGTCGAACATCTTTCAACACAAGTGCACATCCGACATTGGTTGTTATGTGCACATCACCAATGCCAACAATCTTCGAGAAACTGGTGTTTCCCATCTTCACAGCTCCAAAGTCCTTGGACTTATAAGATGTGAATAAATTCTGGTGTGGAGTGGCGTGAAATGATGCGGCTGTATCAATCACCCACTCAACATCATGAGTACCTACGTGTAAACATTCTTGTTCACCATGTGTAACAAGACACACGTCTGATGACAAACTAACCATGGTCTCACCATCTTCTTGGCTAGTATTTTGACTCGTCTGTGGCTGCTCTCGTAGAAACTTTCTACAATCTCTTTTTATGTGTCCATAATTACCACAATAATTGCAATATCCTTCAAACCAATTATTTTTTTCATAGGACATACCTCTCTCTTATGATCTGCCACGAACTTGAGAGTTTCCTCTGTTTTGACCTTGGCCTCTACCTCGACCTCGACTTCTTCCTCCATTTCTGCCTCCCCTTCGTCTGCTAGTTTCTGACAAGAAGGCATATGATTGTTCAGTCCCGGCTTCTTTTCTTCGGGCTTCTTCGTTCATAAGGGCATCTGTGACCATCTGCATAGTCACTTTGCCATTGGGAGCAGAATTGCTGAGAGTGACAACAAGAGTCTCCCAGCTGTCAAGTAGAGAGCTCAAGAGTAGTATCACCTGCTCTTCATCTTTGAGAACCCATCCGGTGGTGCTCAACTGATTCACAAGATCCTGGAATTGACTGGTGTGTTCTGACACCGAAATACCTCCTCGTAACTTGTGGTTTACTAATCTCCTCATTAGTAACATCTTATTTCGGGTGGTTTTTGCTTCATACATGCTACCAAGCTTCTCCCATAGTGTGTAAGCACTTTGTTCTTGCGCAACATGGTGGAACACACTATGATCGATCCACTGCCGAATTTGTGCGAAAGTTTTTCTATTCATTTTTGTCCATTCCTCATCCATCTTTTTATCCGGTTTCACGCCATTATTATCAAGAGGATCAGCTAAATCCCTCAAATTTAGCAAATCCTCCATCCGAGGCTTCCACATATTGTAATTTGTGGAAGTGAGCGCAATCATGGTGTCTGATGATGATTTATCCATAATAAAACGCTCAAAATATCTCGTACCTTATTTTCCGAGCCGAATTTGGACAAACGGAGCTCACCGTTGGATCCGGAATGGCCGAAAATGGTAGGAATCGGTCTGACCTCGTCCAAAACCGGTCTGGAAATGGGTGAACCGGCCTCCACAACTTCGAACCAGTTCGGTCCGGTTCAGGCAGCAGCCCAGTGTGCTAACACCCAGGCTGGTGACGTGGACACAGCTGACGCTGACGTGGCGCTGACGTGGCGCCCAGTGGATGGCTTGTGTGGCTGACGTGGCGAATGACGTGGCGTGGCGATGACGCGGCGCTGGCGTGGCGGCTGAAGTGGCTCGTCTTCTTCCTCTAGACTGCGTGATGACGCATTATTCAACATCACTATATAAAGTGACAAGTAAAATGGAATTTAGTGAATGAAATATACCAAATGCGCCAGGAATTATTTTGTACGAAGTATGTTTTAAACATGATGTTGTGAAAGGATTGATAACTAATTACACATTTAAATGATACTCCGTAGCATGTTATAATGTGAGTATCGAATTCCAAATTACTTATCACAATGAATTGTATTTTTATTGAGGTGAGAATGCATGCATACCTTTGGATAATTGACATTCAAATTTGGGCAGGTTAATTCGGCGAAGCCATCTTAATGTTCTTATTAAGTCCATATCATTTAAAATGAGCTAAGTGAGGCTAATCATATGGTTCAACTCTAAATATATGAGATAATGACGTGCAAGTGCTAAATTATACGGAGAACTACATATGGATCAGAGTAATGGAGCAATTTATTATTGTAATGTGGCTGAACATAATTTAAATGTATATAATAATGTACCTTGTGTAGGTAGGTGTTACATATATCATACAAACATGAGAGCCTCGTGAGTGTCTTCTTGAATGATGAGAGAAAAGAGTCTTAGGGGAGCTCTTGAGTGAGTGAGAGCGTCCTTCACAAAGCCATAAAGGAGAGTAAAGTAGTCTCATATATAAAGAGTGAAGTGACGTGCTCAACTATATGTTTACTTGTAAATCTCTTTTGTATATTTCAATTGTATGATACAAAGTGTGATATTGTCAGATTTAATCTTGTATCACGAGGGTGTGAATAAATGTACACGATTGCTATGAGCTCAAGATACTGAAAGAGGCCGGAGTTCGTGTTTTCCTCACCAGTATGTACTCATTATAGTCATGGAATTCTATTGACTTGCAAGTTGCCAATAATAAAGTTTCTTTAAATTAATACTACTACTATTGGAGTATGTTTTTTTATATTGGAGTATGCTATTTATGGTAGCAAAGCCCGCTAGAGCCTAGATGGAATTTTCTGCCAAAAAATTCATGGGTAAATATATTTAATGGGTAAAATTATGAGTAAGGAGACTGAAAACCTAATATACAAGCGATTAAGGCTACGCTTGGCACAACGAGTTGGAACTGGAAGCTAGTGTCTGAAAATGGGAGTATTGTCTGAATCGAAGAGTATTTTCTCGAACTGAATTTTAAAGTGTTGAATCTGAACTGATAGGTGAATAGATTAAACCTATTTGGCAAAAAGAGCTAAAATCGTGACAGGAAAATATATTCCGTGTTAAATAGAAAATGTTTATTATAATGGTATTTATGTTTCAATAAAATTAAGATTATGACGAATTTTTATTAGTGATCTTGGGCCGCTAGATGCCATGCATTATACTCCCTCCGTCCCAAAATGGTTGGCCAAATTTCCTTTTTTGGCCGTCCCAAAAAGGTTGGTCATTTCCATTTAAAGTAAGGAATATGTGGCTAAAATTAATTCTCTCTCCTCTGCACAAATTTCAACTACACAGTTTTTACTTTATTAATCCACGTGCAAGTCAACATTGGTCAACCATTTTGGGACGGAGGGAGTATATATATATATATATATATATATATATATATATATAGAGCACTCTTCCGGTCAGGAATTCCTGACCGGAACCGCCGTCCGGACGGCGGCGTTTGGCCGCCTTCCGGGTGGAATTTTTCGATGAAATTTTTGTGACATGTTCTTCATCAAGTCTAGTTTATCCACAAAAAAATTCAGCCAAAAACTCAATCGGGAAGGTCGTCAAATGATTTTTGCAAGTTAACTCGTCCGGAATATGTATTTTCCGGACCAGTTAACTTGCAAAAATCATTTGACGACCTTCCCGAATGAGTTTTTGGCTGAATTTTTTTGTGGATAAACTAGACTTGATGGAGAACATGCCATAAAAATTTCATCAAAAAATGTCACCGGGAAGGCGGCCAAACGCCACCGTCCGGACGGCGGTTCCTGTCCGGAATTCCGGACATGAATAAAATTCTATATATATATATATATATATATATATATATATATATATATGAAACCTCCCGATGTTACCCTTCAAGTAGCATTATGTGTCTTCTTGTATGTACGAAAACATGTTATGATGTTAACCCAATGGTCTATTCTCAAATCGATGACTATACCGGTGGGCATAGCTCAACTGGTAGCAAGGGAGTGCCACAAGGGTTAGGACTCGGGTTCGAATCACGGCAACTGCGATGAGGGGTTACTATGCTGAAAAATGCATAGGGCTTCTGCAAGTACCGGGGACAGAGCCCCACTCTCTATCTCTTAGATTGTGATTATAGTCCAATTTACATCCTCCCATCGTGCCGTCCGGTCGGTGTTGGGGGCCCTCAAGGATGGGGTGTCATCCTTTTTTCCCCTCAAATCGATGACTATACTTAGTGCTAATTATCCGTGTAGTACAATTTTTTGCACTGCATATCTTTTATGTCTCCCTGACTTTCTCTTTTCACTTTGAAAAATTCTAAAGCTACCCCATTCTATACCCCATTTTGTACTCCCTCCCTAATTTTGTGGTTAAGAAAAGCAATGAATTTAAGTGGGGCAATTGTTTTGTGGGGTTGGGGTTTTGTGAGCCACTCATATAGTGAGGTACAAATGGGGTAACTCATGTTGGGGTACATCTAGCATTCCTCTTTCACTTTTACACTTCTGCTTTTTCAATTTTGATTTTTTAATTTCATTTTGGACATGTTTAGCCGATCTCCTCCAGCGATATACAGAGTGTGAGAGACACAAAGGAGCTTCTCTGCATTTCACTTTAGATCGACGTTTTTCATCTCTAATCGCCTGTGGATATGAGTTTGGATTCCTTATCTCAGTGTCTGTGAGGTAACTAAGGGATCTGTTGACCTCTTGGCTGAGAACAAAGAGCAGAGGCTTCCATGTCTTTGCCTTGCAAATTAGAGAGTGATCCTCCTCCCGTGTCTAGGTAGGAGCTTTTCAGATGCAGAACAGAGTTAATCTTGCAATTTTCTTCATTATTCTTCTATTAATCATTGAGCTCTCTATGATTCCCACATATTGAAATATGTGCTGCTATTGCAGTATTTTTAGCTGGGGGTTTGGATTAGCGGGGACTGACTTTCGCAGTCGTCATCCTTGTGGCCCGAATATGCACTTTTGATCGGCACCGATATTGAGATGTGAGGATGCGGGGACGACACGTCTGTCCTTGGACCGTGCAGGGAGGACGAGATGGTTCTCGAGGTTGGACGACTCCAGAAAACATAGGTCCCCTCTGTACATGTGAAGACCTACAATACGGTCTTGGTCATCGCATTGGCAAATTTGGGGCTCCCCTTGGGACAACATGATGGCACGAGAAACTTTAGGAATTTCCACTTAGCAGACTCAAGTGGGCACTATCAGTAGGAATTTTCCTCTCACAAAAAAGCAGATTTGATTTCACCTCTCAAACACGGGTTAGATGGGTTTAATGTCTTAAATGAAAGAAAATCTTTTTTATATTACACGGTATCTACTTATTTTCTAACTTGATTTGTTAGTTTTCAACCGGGTGTTTAAAAAACTTCATAGCTTCATCTGCTTTAAACTTGCGATGGTGGGCAAGTTTTATGGGTGAGTGAGAGTTTCATGTGTTCTTTTGGTTGTGTGATCATTCATTGCTGAGTTACAAAGGTATATAAGGTGTCATCCTGTATAATATGCATGATCTCTGGACTGTGTTGTTGTGATTGTGTAACTGGAAGGCAATGTCTCTACAGTGATAGGATTGCCAACTTGAGCTAGTGACCTTAGTAAGTGCACAGGAAGAAACATGATGATCATAATGATTTTTTGAATAGCCTGTACTCCTATATAGCAGTATGGCACTTACAAGGAGACCAATGTACTTGTTTATTGTGTTGTAAGAAGTCACTTTGGCAAAAAAGATGGTTAGACATTTTTTTAGTTACACATTCGCAATGCATGTAATTTGTATTACTGTAAATGTGCCTTTTGACTTTTCAATAGCACAAGAAATAGTGAAGTACTACGTATATTATATTATACCTTTGTTGTAGTTTGTTTCTCTTTGTTGCATTTTATTTGTTTCATCATGTTGCATCATGTTGCTTTTTGTTGCATTGTGTTGCATGTTGTTGCTTTTTGTTAATTTTGATTCTTATTGTTTCTTTATCTTTATATTTATCTTTGTTCCATCTTTGGAATAAAAAGACTTTGTATATATACAAATGCTTAAAATCATAAATTTCTATTAATTTATGAATATCAACTGAAACAAAAAATATGAAGAAACATTATGAAACAAAAATGTAAAAGTTATGAGGGATGGAGGGAGTGGACTGCTGTCTGGAATTGGGAGCTTCCTCCGAAGATCAAAGTCCTTTTTTGGCAGATTTGCATAGGGAATTTACCGACGACGGAGAACCTTAGATGAAGGTGGGTTGATTGTCCGGTTCGCTGTGGTTTATGTGGAGAAGAGGATGAATCGCTACTACATCTTTTTGTTAATTGTGAGGTCGCGAGGGGGGCTTGGAACTCCGTAGGGTGGTTTGTCTCCGGGCAGATGGGTGGGAGCTAACTGGATTGGCTTCGGTCAGTGTTCCAGGCCAAGAAAGGGATGATCTGTGGACAGTAGCTTGGGGATGTTGGGGGTTATGGACTGAACGTAACCATTGGGTGTGGCAGAGGGATTTTAAGCTTCCTAGCCAATTCATGCATCAAGCCCGGAGTTTGGTTGAGAGTTGGACATCTGCCCAGATGAAGGAACACAGAGCTGGGACGAATCTGCCGCTGGGAAGTAAAGGTTGGAGCTGTCCAGGGAGTGGTTTTTTAAAGGTTTATGTCGATGCTTCCATTGATGGGCATTGTCATGGGCTGAGTTGGGTAGTCCGCAATGCAGCAGGGGAATTTTTAGCAGGTGGAAGCAAGAAGGGAGGAGGACGTTGTTCCCCGTTGGAGGCTGAATTGCTCGGGATTCGGGAAGTATTGAGCTGGTTGAAAGCTCAAGCTTGGGATTCTATAGAGGTCGAGTCGGACACTTTGAAGTGGCTCAAGCTTGTCGTATGGAGGAGTGATCGATTGCGGATGACATTAGAGATACCAGCTCGGAGTTCAATAATATATCTTTTACTTTTGTTAGGCACTCAACGAACAAAGTCACGCATACAGCGGCTTGTTATTTGTTTGAAAGCCAGATTTGGTAGCTTACACTTTCGAGTTGTATTGTTGACGCTTTGTCATTTGATTTGATTAATGCTAATTAAATTTGTTGTGGCAAAAAAAAAAAGTTATCAACAAAAAGAAACACACATAAACAATATGAAAAAAAAGCAACCATAAAATGATAATTACAGGATTCTGTACGGAGTATTATATTACAAAATTCATATATTTTATTTTTCAATTTTTTTCACTTTTGAACTTTTAACATTGTTTCTCTAATTCAATTTTTTCATATTTGCAGTTTTGATTTTTTAAGTTTTACACTCTTTAAAGTTGAATCTAATTATATGATTTTTGAAGAACTTTTAGAATCTTATTTTCTGAAGTTTTTTTTTTGTATGGTTTTTTTTTCTCGAAGATATTCAAAATATATATATATACATATATGTATATATATATAGAGTACTCTTCCGGTCAGGAATTCCTGACCGGAACCGCCGTCCGGACGGCGGCGTTTGGCCGCCTTCCCGGTGGAATTTTTTGATGAAATTTTTATGGCATGTTCTCCATCAAGTCTAGTTTATCCACAAAAAATTTCAGCCAAAAACTCAATTGGGAAGGTCGTCAAATGATTTTTGCAAGTTAACTGGTCCGGAATATGTATTTTCCGGACCAGTTAACTTGCAAAAATCATTTGACGACCTTCCCGATTGAGTTTTTGGCTGAATTTTTTTGTGGATAAACTAGACTTGATGTAGAACATTCCATAAAAATTTCATCAAAAAATTCCACCGGGAAGACGGCTAAACGCCGCCGTCCGGACGGCGGTTCCTGTCCGGAATTCCGGACATGAACTTTCCTCTATATATATATATATATATATATTTGTTTGATTTTTTTTGTCTTTTTAAGGATAACACAAATTACTCTTTCATAAAATTTACAATTAGTTTTCATGTTTGACAATATTTTATTTTTTTTTCTTTTTTTATGTAAGGTTTTAATAAGTCTCAGGTATTCAGATATTTTTAAAAAAAAAATACAAGATTTTTTAAAAAATAATTACAAGCTCCCCCCCCCCCCCCGTACATTTTTTATTTTTATAAGTTTTGAGTTTTTATGCATTTTTTGTAAATTCAATAAATTATTTACATTTTTTGTAATATTTTATACATTTATTGTATTTGTTATTAGACTTATTACCCTTTTAACATTTTGACATTTTTCATTGTTCTCATAATTTATAAAATTGTACAGTTTTAATTGTTTTTTACCTTTTATACCTTTTTTAATTTATATGTATTCTCTTAATTATAAGTCCTCCTAATATTATATACGAATTAGTATAAAGATAGCTCAATAGCTCATGAACAGCAAAGTTTGGAACGTCCTTTACTTCTTCATCTGCAGCTCGTAACTCTATTAGCAGGGACTAGGCGCGCGCGTTAGTGGGTAAGATGTATTATTGAAAGAATAAACACGGATGGTCTATATTGAAAGGAAAATTGAAAAGTGAAAAAAGTGATATTATTTTGATCTTTCGGTCTATTTCTGAAAAAATACCCTATACTTAAGTTAACCAATAAGTAGTACGAGTATATGTTTGCACAAGTTTGAACTTGGGGGTGGGAATTGAAATAGGAGAGAAGGGAGGCCAATGTAGGAATAAGTGATGGGTGGAATTTAAACGTTGCCTCTATCAACGTTTTAATAAGCTCAATCAAGGCTTTTATCCAAACAACATTAATAACTAAATGATTGGCTCGTCTTCAAAAATTCCAGCCGATTATAGTCCGCCGAACACATAGCCTAAAGCCATAAGAAAGCACAAACATAAAATACCGAACTAAATTGAGTCAATTCCCTAAATAGGACTAAAAAGTGGCAAAATTACACAAATAGGACTACATTTTTTAAATTCCCTTAATAGGACTATTTATGTGTGTTTGGACAAATATACCCTTGTAGATTGTGAAATGTTTTAATTAATAATAAAATCATAAAAAAATAATAAAAATCGAAAAATACTAAAAATCGTAAAAAAAAATAACAGAAAATTAATAAAAATAGTTTTTAAAAAAATTAAAAAAAATATTTTTTAAAAAAAAATAAAAAAATAAAAAATAAAATTGGAAAATTAAAAAAAAACATTACCACCCCTGCCACCCCAGCACCACCAGTAGACCTGTACAAAACCAGGCCGGCCCGCCCGCACAAATTAGCGGGCTTGGGCAAATTTATTAACCCACCGGCCCGCAACAACATATGGGCGGGCTTGGGTTAGGGTATAGGCCCGTTCGGGCCGATAAGCCCGGCCCGCTACATTTAGTATATATACATATACATTTTTATATATACTAATTTATGTATTTATTTACATGTACACATGTATATTTTTATATGTACTAATTTATCTGTATACATATTTATAGTTCATTATGTTTAAATTTAAGTTTTTAGTTCTTAACAAATAGTCCAACCAATATAATATCTATTTTTGTACTTAAACATAATACTTTGTGCTTGAATTTTAAATTTTAGATATAGTTTCTCATTATTATTTTTGTGTAAATATTTTTTGTGTATGTGATGAAAGGCCTATATACGTTATAAGCGTATTAGCAATTTTTTAAATGTTGTAATATTATTTATAAAGTATTAAATAAATTATATAATTTTGAAAATTTAAAGTTTTCCCGGGCCCGGCGGCCCGGTGGACTACCCGGCCCGCTCATACGAGCGGGTATGGACATGGGGTTAGGCCCGTTTTTGCGGGACGGACCCACCCACACACGATGGGCAGAAAACTTATGAAAAGCCCGGCCCGAGCCCAGCCCGAACCCGCTTTTGTGCAGGTCTAAGCACCATCTCCCATCACCGGAGAAAAATATGCCAACATTTTAAATGATGTCATAATGATGGCATATTCAATGAAAATGTTGGCATATTGAGAAAAAGATGGCATTTTTTTACCAAAAGTGGTAGAAATTTCACCAATTGGAGGTGGTGGTGTTGGGAGGCGGCGGGAAAGGTATCCATAATTTTTTTCATTTTTATAGGTTTTTTAAAAAAATAAAAAAAAAAAAAAATTAAATTTGTTATTTTATAAATATTTTATAATTTTGTTTACGTTTTTTTAAATATTTGTTTACAATTTTTTATGATTTTATTATGATTTAAAGAATTTCATTATGAACTAATACTCTTAGGGGTATTTAGGGTAGAAAATCAATGTTTAGTCCTATTTAGAGAATTTAAAAAGTAGTAGTCCTATTTGTTCTTTTTTAAAAAATTTAAAAAAATATTTTTTTAAAAAAAATAAAAAAATAAAAAATAAAATTGGAAAATTAAAAAAAACATTACCACCCCTGCCACCCCAGCACCGCCAGTAGACCTGTACAAAACCAGGCCGGCCCGCCCGCACAAATTAGCGGGCTTGGGCATATATATTTACCCACCGGCCCGCAACAACATATGGGCGGGCTTGGGTTAGGGTGTAGGCCCATTCGGGCCGATAAGCCCGGCCCGCTACATTTAGTATATATACATATACATTTTTATATATACTAATTTATGTATTTATTTACATGTACACATGTATATTTTTATATGTACTAATTTATCTGTATACATATTTATAGTTTATTATGTTTAAATTTAAGTTTTTAGTTCTTAACAAATAGTCCAACCAATATAATATCTATTTTTGTACTTAAAGATAATACTTTGTGCTTGAATTTTAAATTTTAGATATAGTTTCTCATTATTATTTTTGTGTAAATATTTTTTGTGTATGTGATGAAAGGCCTATATACATTATAAGCGTATTAGCAATTTTTTAAATGTTGTAATATTATTTATAAAGTATTAAATAAATTATATAATTTTGAAAATTTAAAGTTTTCCCGGGCCCGGCGGCCCGGTGGACTACCCGGCCCGCTCTTACTAGCGGGTATGGACATGGGGTTAGGCCTGTTTTTGCGGGACGGACCCACCCACACACGATGGGCAGAAAACTTATGAAAAGCCCGGTCCGAGCCTGGCCCGAACCCGCTTTTGTGCAGGTCTAAGCACCAGCTCCCATCACCGGAAAAAATATGCCAACATTTTAAATGATGTCATAATGATGGCATATTCAATGAAAATGTTGGCATATTGAAGAGTAATTATGCCATCTTTTTGGCATTTTCAAAAAAAGATGGCATTTTTTTTACCAAAAGTGGTAGAAATTTCACCAATTGGAGGTGGTGGTGTTGGGAGGCGGCGGGAAAGGTATCCATAATTTTTTTCATTTTTATAGGTTTTTAAAAAAATTAAAAAAAATAAAAATTAAATTTTTTATTTTATAAATATTTTATAATTTTTTATAATTTTTTTTACGTTTTTTTAAATATTTGTTTACAAATTTTTATAATTTTATTATGATTTAAAGAATTTCATTATGAACTAATACTCTTAGGGGTATTTAGGGTAGAAAATCAATGTTTAGTCCTATTTAGAGAATTTAAAAAGTAGTAGTCCTATTTGTTCTTTTTAGGAACTCATTAGTCCTATTTAGGACAATTTCTGAACTAAATTACTCCGTACTAATTTTTCTTTTATTAATTAATAGAAACAATTGCACTTTTATGTATAGAAGCACGCAGCAATAAACTTTGTACTATCACCCATGTCTTGTACTACCTCCGTACCACAACATTATATTAAAACATGAGAAGATGACACGGTTATTAAAAAAAATCGGTTTATGTGGTTGATATTAAATTGATGATAAAGTAAGAATTGGGTAGGAATGATTTAGAAACACACAAATTTAATCGAATTGATATAGAACAATCTTAGTAAGACGAACCAAAAAGAAAAGACGTGACAATCTTAATGGGACGGAGAGAGTAATATTTTATATATATATGTATGTATATATATATAACTATGTAAGATAAATTAAATGTTCAATTTGAATAACGGTGTTGTACAATTCTCAAATTAAAAACATACTCCCTCCGTCTCATTGGACTTTGCCAAATTTCCCCTTTTGGTTGTCCCAAAAAACTTTACCACTTTCCTATTAAAGCAACTAATTTGTGGATCCGCACATTTATCTCTACTCTGCACAAATCTCAACCACACAGT